GGCGTGGCTTCCAGATGACGCGTCCGGCCCACGGGCCGGCAGTTTGACACCCCTGGTCTAAATAATTTACAAGTAACCATGATTTCAATTTCTGGTTTAGAGCATATTAAAGAGTTTCCCAATTTCAAATGTACAGGTAATGGGAAACCACTGTTTGAAAATGCACTGTTTCTACTTTCTTTTCTCATGTACAAAGGAAGAAGGAACTTCTAGATGAAATCCAAATTTTTACTGCACTTCTTTTCAATAAGGCTAAGACATTTCACAAAGTTAATGTCTGACCAATTCTATGCCCTGTTCACTGGAATTTTAAATGGAATAAACTCATCCAATGTTTACCTAATACTAAGGGAATAACATTATCCATAAAAAATATGCTTACTTGTTCAACATCCTTGCAATCCCAAAATCTCCCAGTTTTGCTGTTTTTCCATCATTGCTAAGAAAAATGTTCTGTAAACGAAGTACACCATAATTAAAAGTGGATGCATGTTTTATGTCTCAGAGACGATGCTAAAAACTCTCTCCCCAAATTACCTGTGTTTTTATGTCTCTGTGCAGAATCTTCCTGTCATGTATATGCTTCAGGCCTAAGGCAGTTTGCACGAACCAACCCAAGATCTAAAGATAAAGATAAAATATCAATACTTCATCAAACACAATTATTAAAATTTCTTCAATATTACAGTCTTTGGGAGGAAAAAAAGAGTTCACTATTTTAAATATATACATATACAGAAGTGTGATATAGTGGATTACAGAGTTATTAAAATATCAAGGTTAGAACCTATTCTCTCTCTCTCTCTCTCTCTCTCTGTGTGTGTGTGTGTGTGTGTGTGTGTGTGTGTGTGTGTAAAACAGAGAAAGAGAGGGGGGAGGGAGGGAGACAGTTTTTATTGTTGAGAGCTTTTGAGATTGCTGAATTTGCATACATCAAAAGCTAGCCATTTTGACGTCGGTCCCTAGAGCAGGGGTAGGCAATCTTGGCCCTTTTATGACTCATGGACTTCAACTCCCAGAATTCCTATGCTGGCTCAGGAATTCTGGGAGTTGAAGTCCATGAGTCATAAAAGAGCCAAGATTGCCTACCCCTGCCCTAGAGACTAAAATACTGCTATATTAGTTTGTCCTGGCTTTGAGTCTTGACTTAACATCCATTAATTCTTTTGCACAAAACATATTATAAAGCACATTAGAGGAAGCACGTGTGAAGGCCCTTCTAATCTTGGCACCTTCACATGGTCTTCCTGCAATGTGATCCTGGCTAATCAGAATTGGTTTCAGATGGAGCTGGCAATTCTACTGGAGAGCACCTGATTGGGCAAGACTGCCTTACCTTTTCATCAGCATTATTTTATTACAAGTGAAACATACGTTTGAAGTATGCAATCTTGGAGTTGACATAGTTAGAAATACTCAGCATTGCCCAAGCTTTTTTTAACCTATTTTATCTTCTATTAATTATGGAATCTGTCCTAAATTTTGGCTTATCTTCCTTTCAGGTAAATACATTATGTGGAATTCTATCTTATTAAAGCATAATTACACAGTAACATAAAAATAAATAAAACACAATGTAAGCCAGGATCTCCACTTTGAATGTTTTGCTGTGATGAACAATGAAGGGAATATAAGTGAAAATATTCCTCAGATTACAAACTTACCTTATCCTCATCAAAGAGCACTCCACGTTGCATATTTATTCTTTTCATTAGGTCACCTCCATTGCAATATTCCATCATAATATACAAGTTATTTTTCTCTAAAAAACATAATAAATTAGGTTTTGAGCCATTAAAAGAAGTATACAATATAAAACAGAAGGGGGAATCCTGCTGGATTAGATCAAAAGTCCACCTTTTCTAGTATTTTGTGTCCTACCCTGGCTGAAGATGCAACTGAAAAACTCACCAAGAGGATATAAAGACAAAGCCTGTTGCTGCTACTGCTATTAACAGCATATTTTGGATTTGAGGCATGCAATCTTGATTCTGTAATATACCGTACATGCTCATACACACACAATATTTTCAGAACCATAGCAGTTTAACATTTCCCCTAGATTTCAAATATATTGATCTAAAAAAACCTCAGGTCCTTAAGCCAGCCACCATCAATTGAGAGATCCAGAGAGGACTTTCAACTGTTACACATCAACAATATTGCCGTGTGACATTTAAATCTATCTGCTTCTTGATCTCCAGCTAAAATGGCTAAATGCCTCTTCCCCAAAGTTAAAAGTGACATCTGCTAATAATCTGTCTTTAATATAACAAGGAGCTCTTTAATGTTTCCTTTTGCAGGTAGATACCATACTCATCCCCTCAACACTGATCATGTAAATATACATGGCATTATGTAACTAAAAGCAAAATAAGATATTATTCTACCTCCACTGAAGTCATAAGACGTTCAGGAGCTTATCTATATAAATAAAAATGTAAATGTTCGTTTGTTCAAAATCTTAAATCTCTGAAAGTTCTTCACCGATTGCTTTGAAATTTTGACACAACGTTGCATTCGAATACGCGCGTGTTTTTATATACCTATATTATATAGATGTCACACCTGTGACAGGTAAAAACATGTTTTTTTTGAAAAACAGCGCCATCTCTTGGACGTAAAAGCAACACACGCTTTTACCAGACTGAGCCACAGCAACGCGTGGCCGGGGACAGCTAGTAGGTTATAAAAACAATAGTTAAAACATCTAAGGTGTTTTAACAATCTTAACAATGATCATGAATATCACATCAGTCCCCGCAGAGAAACAGAAATAAAGGAAATATACATACATGAAATAGAAAGTAAGATGGCACTAGATATATAAATTCAAAGAAACAATCTCCAAAACCTGTTTTTTTTAAGTTTTTGGTAGAAAGTACTTATGTGCCTTTCAAAAGAGGAAATTTTAGAAGGAGCTACTTATTATTGCTCTATTCTAAGAGTTAGCCAAGATACAGGTAGCCCTTGACTTATGACTACAATTGAGCCCAAAATTTCTGTTGCTCAGTGAGGCATTCGTTAAGTGAATTTTGCTCCATTTTACAACCTTTCTTGCCACATTTGTTAAGTGATCATGGCAATTGTTAAGTTAGGAACATGCTTGTTAAGTGAATCTGGCTTCTCCATTGACTTTGCTTGTCAGTAGGTCACAGGATCACATGATCCTGGGACACTGCAACCATCATAATTGAGTCAATTGCTAAGAGTTTGAATTTTGATCACATGATCATTGGAAAACAGCCATAAGTCATTTTTTTAGGGCTCTTGTAACAGAATGGTCATTAAATGAGCTGTTGTAAGTCGAGGACTACCTGTAACTATAAATCACAATAATACCTTGAAGGGAAGTGTAGAAAGCTACAATATTGGGATGCTTCATTTTGGCTAGAAGAGTTGCTTCTTTCTGAGATGATTCTTTTTCCTTCCTTGGCATCTTTATTTATTTAAAAAGATAGCAACACAAGTTATGTTATTTTTTATGTGACTGTATGGGAATACCACAAAGATATTTAAAGAATTCTGAATGCTGCTTAGTGTAATTTCCCCTAAATTGGTGACCTCTGAACAAATCTTATATTTCCAATAAAAGTTCTTGTTGCTTGGGAATTAATGTGAACTGTGTTCCCATTTTTTGTTGTATTAACATAATTTCACAATTAAAAATTATTAATTTCACATTATTTAAAGGCAGTCTGATTTATCAGGAAAAAAACATTCTAAGCCAGGGGTGTCAAACTCACACGTCACGTGACGCGTCACGACATATCGCGACTTTTTCCCCATTGCTGGAGCTTGGGTGGCCGCGGTTTCAGCAAGACGCATCCAGCCCGTGGGTCAGCAGTTTGACACCCCTGTTCTAAGCTTATTATTTCAGAGATCTCATTCATAAGTACTGTAACACATTTCATCAGTTTCTTTCAACATCCTTTAAGAAACAGACTACTTCCTTAAAGGCTATATATATAATATTTTCAGAACTTTAAATTGCCATGGAACCTCAGAAACAGCAATAGCTATAACACATTGAATTCATTATCACAAGCACTCAGTCATAAAACAAACTTACTTTCAGTTGTGAAAAGGCATTAAAATGCTTCTTCAAAACTTAATCTTATGTCAAATATTCAAACAAATTGTAAGCTATCTGCCTAAAATATTGCTAATGTTACTGTTTCTGCCCTTAAGCAGATCTTTCTATGATTGACATCTTCACCATGGATCAAAAGTATACATGCTATATAGCGAACCATTGTAAAATATAAATATTACCTTAGTTAAATTGATCTCCTTGATAACACATTGTTGATTATCCTCTTTTTTTCTGGCTAAGAATATTTTGCCAAATGCTCCTTCTCCAATCATTTTAATTATTACATAATTATCCATGATTCTGAGTTTTGGAGAAATATCAAAAACAAAAAGAATGAAGAAGTTAATATTTAAAGCCCAAACTTTACCTCAAACTGTGACCTTTAATTCTTCCGTTGTAGATTTTTTTCCTTTTTAAAATTTTAATATTATCTATTTTTCTTGGTCAGATACGCACAACTGAAAGAGCAGTATCCCTACCCCTTTAAGTGAAGCAGTTGCAAAACAGAGGAAATTATAATTATTTCGGATGCATTATTATGAAATGTGCACACATAAAATGACAGAATTCTTGGACTTCAGAGGATGAAAGTGTGTTATACGTGAAAAATCACGCTGTTTGTAGTCTTATGGTTTATTCAAGTCACTAGAAATGTTTTGACAACTATCTTCTCTTCTGGGGAAATGGAAGCTACATCCGATCTAATTCATCTGATGGCACCAGGTTGGAAAGGCAGCCCACCTGGCACATGACCTACTTAACAAATCTCTAGTTAGTGGCTGGATCCAGATGAAAGATAGCTTAGCCTTAGGTTCTGCATGCAAGTTGCATGACAGCAAAAAAAAAAAACTATAGGCAAACATAGTGTACAACAGATCATAGCAAGACCTTTGACTGGTTAAATTATTCCAGATTCCTTTCCAAGCAGACTCAATAATACTGTATCTCTAGAAAATGGAACCCTTGATCTATTTTCCCTCGAAGTGAGGGATCCTTCACACAATCCACCAATTAAAGCAGATGTGAATTCGAGGTGAGTGGCAGTTCTAGTAGACTAGTGTTTCTCAACCTTGACAATTTTAAGGCATGTGGACTTCAACTCCCAGAATTCCACAGCCAGCATTGCTGGCTGTGGAATTCTGGGAGTTGAAGTCCACATGCCTTAAAATTGTCAAGGTTGAGAAACACTGTAGTAGACTGATAAATACTAAGCACTTCTCTTATTCTAAGACGCCTTAAAATGGGCGCAGGCTACAACTTTCCACACACTTTACCCAGGAGTAAGCCTCAGTTATCTATTGCGGCTTACTTCTGAGCAAACCTCTGTACGTTTGTGTTGACAACCTCATTAAGAGAGAAGCTTAAGCTATCCATTTCCTCTGCGGGGAGGCGGGCAATTTCCCGGCTTGTCTCAGCACTTCCGCTTCTCCGTTGCCAAGGAAACTGAACTGACGCGCGCGCCCGCGCGCAGGTTCCCTGCCTGTTCGCGCTCCGCAGCTTTATCTTCTCTGTAGTTCACCCGCCGCCGGGACGCTTTCCTGCGCCCTGAGATGGGGGAAAAGGAAGAGTCCTCCCGAAGCAAAAATATCAACTTATACCCCCTAAACTACCTTAAGGTCCGCAGACGGTGGAAGCAGCAGCTTCTTCAGCGCCCGCGGAGGCGTGTTTTCTTTACACCCCGCCTTATCGTCCGGGGTCATGGATAGGTTTCCGCAACCTGACGCCCTTGTGTGTTAAAACTACAGCTCCCATCATCCCTCTTTAGCATGGTTCTATTATATCAGTGTTTCTCAACCTTGACAATTTTAAGGCATGTGGACTTCAACTCCCAGAATTCTGGGAGTTGAAGTCCACATGCCTTAAAATTGTCAAGGTTGAGAAACACTGTATTATATAGTCCACGGGTAGGCAACCTCGGCTCTTTTATGACTCATGGACTTCAACTCCCAGAATTCCTGAGTCAGCTACGCTGGCTCAGGAATTCTGGGAGTTGAAGTCCATAAGTCATAAAAGAGCCGAGGTTGCCTACCCCTGATATAGTCGAAAAGAACTACAGTACTAGTAGGTATCAGGCTGAAGGGCACGTTTGTAGAAAACTCTAAAAGTACAGTTTGCACACCACCTCCTCGCGTTGATCTCCCCCCCCTTCAAATTTCCAATTACTTCATACTTTCGTAATAACCTAACAAAATGCAGAGGACAGAATGTTGCTTTAGCCAAGCTACACAGTGAATGGATATTAAGTTTGATCGGGTTAAACCGAATTTACTCCCAGACAATTGAAGGTTTTAACTTATTCTACTTTAAACTGTGCATGAGCTTCAGCTCCCAGAAAGTTAACAAAGATGATTAGGGGACTGGAGGCTAAAACATATAAGGAATGGCTGCTGGAATTGGGTATGTCTAGTTTAACGAAGAGAAGGACGAGGGGGGACATGATAGCTGTGTTCCAATATCTCAGGGGCTGCCATAAAGAAGAGGGAGTCAAGCTATTTTCCAAGGCGCCTGAAGGCAGGACAAGGAGCAATGGATGGAAACTGATCAAGGAGAGAAGCAACCTAGAACTAAGGAGAAACTTCCTGACAGTTAGAACAATTAACCAATGGAACAACCTGCCTCCAGAAGCGGTGAATGCTCCAGCACTGGAAGTTTTTAAGAAGAGACTGGACAGCCATTTGTCTGAAATGGTGCAGGGTTCCTGCCTGAGCAGGGGGTTGGACTCGATGACCTCCAAAGTCCCTTCCAACTTTATTATTATTATTAATATTCTGCTTGCCAAGCACCTTCACATCTGGAAGTCATCAAAGCTGAGAGAGCCCAGATTTTAAAAAAATTCATCAGAATATATTTCTTTTTAACATTTCAATAGGTATCCTGGGAGTGGGAGTCTCTTGCAGCAGAACATTCTTCAAAAGCTGTAACATTTATTGGAATTTTTACTAGTTTAGCATTTTCAATTCATATAAAAAGAATATAATCCCTAAAGTGTAATATTCTGTATGAAAAAATATGTATTTTTGTTAAATACATAACTTGGTACTTGAACGTCCCGT